TGCTTTTGCTTTTCTCAGTGAGCATTGATCCTTCTAGTTAAAAATGTACTGTCTGTCCCAGAACCTTTCTCTTTCTCCAACTCCACAAAGCCTTTCAGTGGAAAACAAACTTGTCTTCTTGAGGTGAACATCAAAGCTGTCATTTTAGTACATGACATCCACCACAGTGGTTAGTTTGGGAGTGGGAAGCTAAGGAGATACCACCTGCTTGGGTTGAGGATGTGTAATTGTAACTAAACTAAGCGCTCATGTATGTTTGGAGCACATTTCTATTTTGGAGGAGAATACAAGGCAGTATGCAAAGGAAGCAGAGATGGAAGCGAGAGATATGGAAGCACAGGTGTTCACTTTTCTGCCTCAAGTTGTGCCTAAAGCCAGTACCAGCATCTCTTTCTTCCCTTGGGTTTCTCTTACTTAAAACCAAAGATCTCTGACTACCACGTATCACACCATAGAGACCCTGAAGAAGACCCTAGAGCTAGATATCCAGAAAAGTTAAGTATCCGGTTTATACTTTTTTTGTCTAACTTATTCTTCCAAACATACATACAAGTCCCAAGCAATGAATAGGCAATCAAATGTACTATGAATCACTACGACTTATGGGAGTGTCCTACTAGGTATGCATTTGCTTCAGTGCTTTATGTAAAATGTTTTCAGACTCTGATAAGCAGGACCCCATTGGCCCCCTGGGGTGATGCAGCCTCACACAACAAAGAATCAAATATGGTCCCAGCTGATATTTAAATAAAGCTCTCTCTCACCATGCTGTGGTGGGCTTCCATATATTATGATTGATTGTACATACATGAGCTTTATATGTACATGTATATATTCAACATATAGACATGTGCTCCATTATCACAATAAAACTGTCAGAGATATTGTCATTATCATTTTATAGTTGAAGGAAACAGAATGTAATGACCTCAGAACACATTCAGTATTATCCAGACGTGAAAGGGCATAGGCAAGATTTGGACTTCATTTGCCTTGCCTCAAAGCCCTCTGCTTTTGGCTGCTGAGTGCTTATGTTTCCAGCATAAGTTGTGTCTAAAAAGTCTAAGTAGTTAAAAAATTAACAAACTTGTATTCTGACAAAATCAGATTTATTAACTGTGTGCAGCAAGAAACACACCCAGAGCAACTAGCAGTCATAAAACATCATTCTAGAGGCAGTGGTGGGGTCTTAGGTCAGATGCATCCTGCTGAAGAGTTCTGAGGGTCTAAGGAAAGTGTTCGTTGGTTCCAGACTAACTCCTGTTGCTGGGGTGGGAATCGGAGAATCAGCGGTGACCTGGGGCTGGGGCCTGATGCCAGGAGCGGGTGGCTTAGCAGCCGGGGCTTCCCACTGGCAGGAAGGAAGAGTAACGTGTTGCTAGGCCATCATTGTAATGAAACACTGTCCACTGAAGGAGGAAGCACAAAGGTGCGCCATACCATGTGACTGTGGAAAAGTCCCCTATAAGCTCTATAGTTGACATTGGCTGTTTTCTACTATCCCAAAGAAAGATGGGTGGCTTTGCTGTCTGTACCTGAGCTTATTTTTAGTCTTTCCATCTCAAATAAGATTTTACTCTTTCTGTTGTCCACACTTCTGCCATCTCAGCACTTTTACTGAACTCAACGACTTTGAACAGCAAAGCCCACTGATGTGTATCTAACACACTGCATATATATATAATAAGCACACCACTCAGTAATGGGGAATGAACTATCTTACCACAACACTTTCTTACCTAAGCATGAGAAAATTATAAGGCCAAAATAAGTCAAAAGTGATATCCTTTTAAAACAAGATAGATAACACTGGGACTTGGTAAGATAAATGCTTTTGATGTTGTGGATTTTAATATCCTCTGAGAAAAAAAAATAAGAAAATAACTAATGCAAAGCAGTATGCCTCTTCCTTGCCTCTTTTCTCCAAATATTGGGGGAATTAATCCAGAGAATAAAAAAAATGAAAAGAGAAGTATCAAAGGTTTGATTCAGGTCTCACTGTGTGCTTTAGTAGAAATCCTTCCTTCTTAACCATTCCCCCTCATCCAATCCTTATTTACTGTGTTATTCCCCATCTTCCAATCTGTAATCTACAAAGGCTCAGTTCTTACTAATGAAAACATGACTCAGCTCTTTCTTACTCTGTTTTGAGCACATTCTATATTCTAGCCCAGGAATTAGTCCACACAGATGAAATGTGACTTGAATTTATATAATTTCTGAGATGTTTATACTCTAGAGAGGGTGACCATTGTGAACACAGAAAGAGAAAATCAAGCAAGACTCTATGCATGATGGCATAGTCAGCAATAGCCGAGCTACCACGACCCGAACTGGATTGTAGGGATCCAATATAAGCGTCAGAAAGGAGACGTCATTAAGAATGGAAAGTTTCTACTGCTTATCAAAAAAAAAATCTTAACTTTCAAATGAAATAACCTAATATTTAAATTTCTATTCTCAAAGTGTATCTCCCTTTTGCAGGAATCATTCCTAAAAGAAGTAACATATCTGGGAGTTTAGGCAAAATAAATAAATAAAATCAAGATAAACCAGAGGAAGACACATGGAACTCTAAATTGGCTTTACATCTCTTCTAATAGGGAGAATGGTTCATGTGATTGATGATTTGCTTGTGTTTAGCTTTAAACAGATTTGTCAAAGGTAAATATATGCCTACTCTATACCCTCTAAGTGCTCAAATTACTCTTGATAGCAGTAATATGACCTATATATAATTTTAGATATAAAACCAATATACATTGAAATCCCTTCAATATATAGGTCCCATATTTATATAACTTTAAATAGTAATTCAGCCAGATATCTAATTTTTGCTTGAGCTATAAAAGAGAATTGAAGATGAAGATGACAATTACATAAGCTTGAGTCATTAGACAAATTAACTATAATACTCATAAACATGAGTTTATTTTAAATAAATCAAATATCCTGATGCTGTAGCCACAAACTATGAAATTGTATTTGGCTTTCCAGCTAACACCAAAACTTCAAAATGGCATCCAGAACTGAGTCCCCTTTTTTTCTGCAGTCACAATCTGGCCCGTGCCAAGCCACATGCCCAGGCCAGGCTTGTAACCGTGTACCCAGTGCTGAGGCAACTTGTCCAAGGACAGAGCCTCGGAGAGACCCTGCCACCATCCTCTGACAAAGATATTCAGGATAAATTATTTAAATTAGGACAAACATTGAAAACTAAGTGTTTACTCTGTGACAGAGGGTTTTTATTAGAAGGAAATAATTTGTGAATTTTGGCATGGTTTAAAAATACGTAGAAAAGTTGAAAGTTTAAAAGCTCCCTAAAACATTAAGAAATAATAGAAGAAAAACCAACCTCTTGAAAACAGGGTAAGTGGAGGTTTTGTTGCCCTAATGGACTTATTTTCTTTCTTTTCCCTTGTTCTGGCACATTAGATATAGGGTACAGTATTTTTACACATTTTCAGAATCGGTCTCTTGTTAAAATTATCTGCAGGATAGTGGCAGAGGGAGATAAAAAACTTGGCCTTCAGCTCTAGACACACTGGAGACCCACTCCTGTCTGTGCTCTCTACTGGTGATCGGCCTGGAGAGTCTTTTTATCTGAATCTGAGTCAGAACAACCAGGAAGACTTGCTTGCTGTTGTGTTCATGGGCATATATGTATGTGTGGCCAACACAGGGCCCACCATGTTGCTGTAGAACAGTAAACAGAAGCTGGCATTGGCAAAAAATGGTATTATTGTTATTATTCATATTGCTACTCAGTATTTAGATTATCGAGGTTTTAAGAAGCTCTTGGAGGGCCCTTGAGAAGGGCCTCTTATTCCTACTCAGTCCTCGGGTTTTGACCTTTTCTGTTTTGTTTATTTCTAAGATGAACTTTGTACTAAATAAAGCTTTCTTTTGTGTTTTCCATGTAGTATCATATGCAGCTAACAGGCCACTAGTGGAAGGTATTTCAGGCAGGAGAACATCTTCTCCCTCTTGGGAATACAATGAGAATTTAATGTCTAAATGTCTGGGAGATACCCCTCGAATATTCCTGAATATAAGAGAGATATTATAAACAAGGAAGCTGGTTTTAACATGATAGATAATAACATATAAGACTTTAAATTGAAAGCATAAACTTCTAAAACTTGACTTCTAAAATCTATTACCTTCTAAAATCTGGTACCTAAAAAGTATAGTCCGTTGACTGTATGTTTTAGATAGTCTGTTGACTATACTTTTTAGCTCTGCACTCATTCTACTGTGTGTCCGTTGAAGTTAGTTTCTGAAAGGTGCAGAGAATGGGAAGGAGGAAGCTGCCTCTTCGGTCCCACATAATACTTCTCATCACACGGGGGCTCTTGAGCTTGCTTGACCATAGTCAGACCCGTTCTGGTGGCCCCCACAGTGCACTACGCATTGGGGTAAGCTCCTAGGTTGCTATGTCATTTCTATTTTATGGTGCAGTGTCTCGGGGCAATAGACTGGTAGCTGAGTAAGATTAATATTACATGCGCCTATCATTATCTTTGTCTGAGTGCCTAAATATCTTAAATTCATTGAGATTTGAAATTATGCACAATCAGTTTCCAAGATATTTATGATGCTACTATCTAGGTAAATGGCATTTTTGTTGTACCTTTTATCTTACTTTCAAAAAAGCTAACTTTTTTTTTTTTTTTTTTTTGATAATTTAAATATGCTTCTTGACCCTTCCCTCTTCTGGAAGAAATTTGAAACTGCTGGATCATAGAAACAACATGAACATTTGTGGTCTCATTATTTTAAATGATTACCAGAGTCTAAACAGCCCACATGGTCTCCCCAAGCCACCCACCCACCCACCTCCCACCCCACTCCCACACGCATCTTTGATCAAATACTTTGTCTTTCTTAAATTTCCTCAAAAACCAGTTTTGTAGAAAGAATTTGGTTTTCCAGGCAACACCTTGAAACTTCCCCGGAGTTTACCCCAAATGATCAGTGCCCTCTGCCTTCCTTTGCAGGTGCGTCCACTCTGTCTTTGAGTCTTCTTGGCTTGCTGCTTCCTGCCCTCGCCACCCTTGTCCACTTGGAATTCTGAATGTGGTGCGACAGCTGATGCTCCCCGCCCAGCTCCCACCCACCTTTCATCCTGGAGAGACGATTCCTTCCAGCTCCCACGGCTCCATCCTAAGCCAAATGAATTTTACTTTAACAAACTATCCAACTGATTTACAATACATCGTGACTGAGGCATTCAGGAACCCCTTCATCCAAAAGAATAAACTTTTAAGTGGATCTCAAATGATTTTTAACTCGTTCCAATATGCCTTATAAAGCACTTAACTCGATTCTGTGACAGTTGCATGATTTAATCCGGTGGGACAAGATATGGTGTTCAATTCAATACTATAGGCTGTAGAATGAAAGGAAAATCACCACACACAGGTGCTTTAAATTTAATAACAAGTCGTGAAATACAGTAGAGGTTGAAATGTTGATCACGTGGTAAGTGTGAGAGTAGAGTAGTCTCTCGTACTATTCCCTGTTTTGCATTCTCCATATTTTTGAACAGCCCAATCATTCAGGAGGTTTAGAATTTACTGAAAAAAAAAGAAGAAGAGCAGATATATTTTGACATAAATCCCACTAGCAAATCACTTTACTGAATGAGTTGAAGGATTTTGAATGTTGAAAACCAAATTATAGAACTATTCCATCAGTATTGTTATTTTTGGAGTAATTTTCTACATATTTGCTTTCCACAACTTTTCAGTTAATTTTCTAATGGTGATGTTAACACACCATGTGAAGCATTTTTACTTTTGTATTTTACTCTGAAGTTGTTTTATGCTTATTGTCGGTGTCAAACCTCAAAAACTGTATCTCGTACCTGGCGTATCATCATCTTGCTGTATTTATTCATATATGGAATGATGAATACTGAATAGAGTGCTTCCATTTTTTTACTGAGATAATGACAGTCTTAATGCAGCTAGGAATAAATGACGGTTAAGTGAATATCAGAATTACCTAATAATATTCTGATATCTTTGTTTTTGTGCTTCATTCCTAAGTGTAATCTTTTTTTTTTTAATTGAAGGCACAGAATTAAGAAATCACCTATGGGTTGAAAAATCTATGACAGTCTTTCTTTTTAAAAATAAAAAAAAGAAAATTCAGTTTTAAGTTCATTTCTCACTCAATGCCATATGAAAACTGGCTAAAAATACCAAATCAATATGCTGATACATTGCTAAGGGTACCTTGAAGAGTTTGCACACTGGTAGGCCAACAGTAGACAGGCAGTGTGTCTGATGGTGTCTGCCGAGTGTTGGCATTTAGGGTTTTTATAAGTTATGAAAAGGAAGATGTCTATTTCTTCATTCTTTGTGGTGTGCCAGGAAATGTGTCTGAGAGTGGGTGTGAAAGAACTCGGGTAACAAAGAATTAGCTGGCTTCTGAAACAGTGCAATGTTTGATGCTTAGGGAGGTACAATCCTATTTTATTAGCACAACCTTGCTAGCTAATTAGAGAGTTTATCTTTTTAGAAAGGATATCTTATAGGTTCATAAAAAATATTTACAGGAAGCAAAATAGATCTATTACTACTTGACCCCCATCTTTAATTTGTATAATTTTTGTACGATATATCTATGTGTAAATGTTTAAAGTTTTCCTTATGAAACTATCAATAAAGAGCTCATTAATTTACATTTAACTCCTCATTATAAAAATGAAACTTTTTAAAACCAGTAAGATGGATGATTTCTCAGTGAAAGTGTGTCAACAGTCTTCAGATCCTTGCCAGATTTCATAAAATATTTAATTATCTGAAAAAGAAATAAAATAACTTCATACTTTAGGGAACAATACCCTCTGTAAGCCTTCTGTACAAACATTTGTGTTTTTGTTGTTACACTTTGGGGTTTTCCTTTTGCAGTGTGACCCACGTTGGGCATTTTTATATAATGAGCGTTAACTACATCTTTTGCCAAATGCATGCTTGCCTTTTATTTTCTAATGTATGGTAATGCAAAGCAAAACTGGCTAGATTTTGCATGAAACAGTTCTGAGAGGTAAGGCGAAAGCAGACTTTGGAAGCTGTTTAGTTTTAAATTTGTGACAGAGATAAAATAGACTAAAATCTCTCATACACTAATAACTCAAGCTTTTCATTTGCTCATCCTCTTGTACAAATTTGACTGGGACCATCAGTTCTCAACTGTTGTCAAAGTAACTAATGTACCATGCTTTAAGGCGCAAAAGTCTTAATTAAATTTATATAGCTAGAGACACATCTGTTGTTTCTTTGTATTCAAGAAAGGTGATAGTAGTTTTATTTGATACTGATAAATATTGATTTTTTAGTTATTTTTTATCATTTTTTCAATGGAGTAGTATAGGACTGTGCTTTGTCCTTTTTATGGATGAAAACAAATTATAAAGAAATAAATGTCTTACTGTTACCCAGAAATGTAGTAACTGTCTTTCAATTGACTTACATTAAATTCAGTTTTAGAAGGGTTTCTTTACAAGTGCAACAGCATGGAGTCAATATCACTGGTTGCATAACGTATGAAGTTGAACTAGTCCAATGTACATAGAGACACACGTAGGGGTATTATTACATTGACACAAAATCCACCTGGTAAGGACCTTCGCCGCGTAGAAATGCCAGTGAGCACCACTGGATCTACCCTGAGGCAGGCTGCTAGATCCTGAATGCTTCATCCTGAGGAAGCAAAGACTCCAGAGAGGAATTTGCAGAGCAGAACGCACAGCAAGGTAAAGTCTTTCCTCATTCTCCATCCAGGCTGGACCCCGAATTCTGAACCTCAGGTCTTCGCATGCTTGGCCTTCCGCTGTCTCCTGCGTTCTGCCCATGAATTAATGTCTCTGCACTCAGGCCTCCCTTCCTGATCCCCGAAGCTTGCTTCACCCCAGGTGCTGAGTTTTCTCTTTTGAGCCCTGCTTTCTTTTCTTGACCCTAAACATTAGGTTCGTTCCGTTTGCTGTTGATATTTCACCTTCAACTGACCTCAGCTCAAATTCTAGGTTTTGGGAGATCAAAGCTACTTTCTTTAAAAGTATATTCCACGTTGGTGGTTCTCAACCCTGATTGTTTATCAATATCAAGTGGAGAATTTGAAAAAGAAATACAATGGATCTCCTTGGTTTCAGCCCAGATTTATAAAGTCAGTATTTTGGGGCATGAAGCAAAGGAAGGTGTAGGTTTGGCATCAACAATATTCTGGAGTGTTTCCATGAGGTCAGGTTTGTAAATTGGATTTTTAAAAATTAACTAATTTTTATTTGTTACAGGGCCTCTCTATGCAGCTCAGACTCATAGTGATCCTCCTGTCTCAGCCTCCTCAGCTCTGAGATTATAGGCATGTGCCACCACGCCCAAGTTCCGGGGCTGGCATAACATGCCAGGGATCAAACTCAGGTTCTTGTGTATGCCAGGCAGGTACTCAGACCACCGAGCTAACTCCCCAGACCAAGAATCTGATTTTCACAATCGCTACTTACTAGATTAATTGGTGCAACTGAAAGGCCAATGCATAGGCCAACATAATGTGTATATAATTTAAATACCTCTTAGGAAAAAGTGCATTATACTCCCTTGACTAAAAGTCTGATTTACTCAAGTATTCTTGTATTTTTCTTCTACATTTTAAATCTCAAAATATGATGTACTTTTTTGTAAGTAATGCAAATGTTCCCAAGATAAATACTAAAGTTATATTTCTCTCTAAAGTTTTATTTTAGGTAGAAAGAATATGATTATTCATAATGGGGCTTCATAATTCACTTTGAGATAATAAAACTTATGGAATAACTACCAAAAATATGGTATACATTTTGTGAAGCAAAAATATTCCCTAATTTGTTGGTATATAAAATCAGAGCAACTGACTGGAATAAAAAGTATTAATAAGAATCGGATATGGTAACACACAGCTAAAACCCCAGCACCCTGAGAAGCTGAGGCAGGAAGACTGCAAGTTCCAACCTAGTGCGGGGAGCCTAGTGATCTAGCTAGACCCTGTCTCAAAAAAAATACTGTGGATGTAGTCCAATGCAAAGGCCTTAGGTTCAGTTCCAAGTAACACACACACACACACACACACACACACACGACTTTTTCTAAAAAAAAAAAAAATGGTAGCTGGTTTTGAATTAGTTGACTTTAAATTATCTTTGTAAATTAGGCCAACATTAGATTTCTGTGTTATCATACTTTGAAACCAGACCTCCCACTTTAGTTACCAGGAACAATTGAAATCATATACACCACGACCCCCAGTGCTGATACACATGTGGCTCCAGAGCTTAGTTTGGCTTATCACAGGGCGAGCTGGGAGGTGACAGCACTTGGTTCTCATTGACCACAGTGTATCAGGTGGGGCGCAGTTTCATGGATGCCACTTTGGGAGCAATACTAAAGCTTTTATGTTTGTTTGTGATAGTTTTTCAGGCCTGAGACTCATCCTTGCATAGTTCTGGAAGCTCGAAGGCGGACATCCTGGTGTTCATTTGCCTGCCAGAGACTGTCCGTACTTCTTTCTAGTTTTTTCTAGGCTTGTTGTAGTTACAGGGGATTCTGTCTGTCTGTCTGTCTGTCTGTCTGTCTGTCTGTCTCTCTCTGTCTTTCTCTTTCTCTGTCTCTCTGTCTGTCTCTCTTCCTTTCTCTTGCTCTGTGTTTGTGTCTGACTGTCTCTGTCTTTCTGTCTCTCTGTCTTTGTCTCTCTGTTTCTGTCTCTCTCTGTGCACCTCCTCTCTCTCTCTCTCTCTCTCTCTCTCTCTCTCTCTCTCTCTCTCTCTCTCTCTCTGCCTTTTTCCCTACAGTGTTTGCTAATCCCAGGGACCTTGAACTGAGTTACAGCCTCAACTCTTTTGAAAACCAATTTTTTGAGACAATGTTTTGCTAAATCACTAAATTTTCAGATTGTGTTCAAACTTCCAATCCTCTGCTGCAGGCTCCCAGAGAGCTGGGATTACAGACACTACAACCACCAGTCCTGGCTCAAATAAAAGGCAGTACCCTAGAGACAGAGAACTAATCAGTGGTTTCCAGAGGTTGAAGGCCAAGAAAGGGTCAGACTGTTTGAGAATAGCCTGAGGAGCAACAAAGTAATAAAACCCTGTCTCCAATCTAGGCCTACATCAGAACTTAAAAAACTGCATACAAGGATAAAAATTTAACGCAGTTATAAAAAATGATCCTAGGGTTTGTAGAGACTCTGAACAAGTAGCTGTGGATATAGCTCAGAGGCTTAAATGCCTGCCTGGCAAGTGCAAGGTCTGGAGTTTGATTCTCGGTACAAGAAAAGAGTAACACTTTGAGCTTTTTCTTCCTCAGTAACATTTTAATCACTCTGAATACTGCAGTTGCAAATTATAGTCAACTCAAATAAGTTTAAGGGGAAAATGGGTGTTATTGGCTCAAATCATGATATTTGGAGGATGGAATAGATAAGGGTTTAATGTTCTCAGGGAACCTTCTCTCCACACCTAGAATTTGACTCTGTTTCTCTTATTTACAGGAGTTGAAGGTGCTGACATTTCTAAGGCTATACCTTCCTGGTTGGTAGCCCAAAAGTAGAGCCTCACTATTCCTATGGAACCCACAAACCAAATGTTACAGAAGACTGTAGTTACCCTTTTGATTTTGGTGTTTATTTGGCCACTCTGGGTCTCTTGTCTACCCTTCTGAGCAGCAGGACCACATGAAGCAAAGAAAAAATGGATGGCTCCCTAAAGGAAGAGTCAGGTGCCCTCTGGCCCTGAGATCCTCCCCTTACTGTCTCCTAACTGTGCGCTATTCCCAGTGGTGCAGGGCAGGGAAGCCCAGTGTCAGCAGCCCTGTCCACACGATTGTGATGGAATGGCATGAATAGCCAACTGCAGCACAGAGGGCTGTATCCACGGGCTTCAGGGCTTCTCTGGAAAATCTTATCAAAATAGACAAACATCCCAACCTTAGTCTTGTAAACACACACAACTCTAAGCGAGCTATATTTGTTGCTTACTCCCAAAATGAAACCACAAAACCTCAGTGACATGGAACAATAAACATCAAGTGCTCACATATCTGAGTGTGAGTAGATAGGCGAACAGATATTCGGTTTCACTAATAGAGCTGGGCTCCCTCAGGTTGAGGAACACCTGTCAGCTGTAAGAGGTGACTTTGGATGGGCCTGCAGGCAAGTTGGTTGGCTTTCTCCGATCCTCCGATAGACGAGTCCCAACATGTGCTCATGGGGGTACAAGGAAACAAGTGTGAACACGTTGAAGCTTTTGCTTGCCTCATGTCTGCTACTATTCTGCTGACCAAATTGAGTCAATGGAATGGATAGACTTATGGTAGCATTCTAACTCTGGGTCAAGAGGCAGGGCTGGTCACTCACATATGTCACAGGGTGCTCTAAAGGTACAAGCAAAGGTTTGGGTCCAGGGAGTGTTGAAAAATTGAATGCAAACAATGCAATCTACTGAATTGCACTGGATACTGAATTACACTGGATCTCAACAGCTATTGATTTTTGTCATTAAGGACTAAAAATATTCCTAATTCAAATATAATATGATGTTTGCTTATCAGGTAAAATTTTTATTTCATACTTATTGAAACAACTGTTTAAATAGATATTGATTCTTAACTATCTATTATTCTTCTACCTAGACCAAATAGAAACTCTACATGAAATAGTGTCAGTCTTAAAATCTTTGAAGTTTGGAATGATTCTACTAGATTGTTTTGACTATCTAAGTGGTTGTTACTTGTATGTTGCCACAAAATATCATGCTTTGATAGTATTGATATATATATGCATCTTTTCTTAAGGAGATACTCCAGTGTTTTCTGAGTGATTGATTGATGCTTATTTTGCCAATGCCCTCCCAATCTTACCAAGCACAAACAGAAAGTTACTGTGGCTAGTAACAAAATATGTCCAGAATTTTTTCATGTTATATGTGGAACACAATTCTTCTCTCTCTGACGATGTATGGAATTTCATGGTGGTCTTCTATTAAATGAAAGAAAGCAGCAGTGACCATGGTGGACATTGTCCCCTTTCTGGTCTCCCCAGGACCACTGTCTGATGAATGGATGAGGAAGAAGCTCGCTTCTCCTGTTAAGGGGTCATGCAGGCAGCTCTGCAAAGATGTCTGAAGGGAGAGGAGCTGAGGTCTCACCACCAGTTCTGTGAGCAATCATCTTGTAAGGAGATTCCCCCAGGGTCAAGCCTTCAGCCATGCTTTTAGCCAGAACTACAAAATGAAAACAAGCATAGACTCATAACTTTCGGATAACGAGCACTTGTTCTACTAAGCGTTTGTATTTTGGAGGCGACTACAATAATTGATTATGCAATTAGCAT